TTTTTTTTTTTTTACAAACCTAGAATTACAACCTAGCTCTGAGTTTTCAGAGCCTGGGCAAGACCACAGCAATACAATCAGAGTGAACTGGATGAATGGGTACCTAATGCCTAATGCCAATCAGCAAAACTTCGTCCCTGATCTTTTTATTAGAAGATAAATCTGGAGGTTTCAGTTCCCTAAAGGAAGTTTGCTGTTTTCAAAGTTTGTGCTTTTTCACTAAGATTAGAAAATTGGAACATCCTAACCTCATAACACAGCAGGCACCCACTAAAGGGAGCTCATCTACTCCATCCTACGCATCACTATTTGCCCAGTGAAGACAGGTGCTAATGGAAGGTAGTTTAAGAATTACTGCAGCACATTTTTTCCCCCTCTCTCAGAAATTGTTGAGAAATTATCCTCGAAATCCAGGCTGAAGTGTATTCAGGTGTAATATATAGGCTCTAGGAGAATATAAAATATTAATTTGAGGGTGAATCCCACTCGATTATTGGCTTGGAACATCCACCAAAGATAATGTGATATCATTAATTAACAGAAAGATAGATAGAGCCAATATCTTAACCTGCTGTTTCCTGTCTCAGGCCAATAGCTCTTTTGCTCAACTTCTCTGCTGTCGACCACTATCCTACCAGATACTTCATTGTGTACTCACTCAAAGCCAACTTGAGTTCATGGCAATCAGCATCTCCAAATTACAGATATAAACTTGCCTAGGCATATGCAAATGAAACATTTAGACAGAAAGACAGCCAGAATTCTTGAACGTGGAGATTTCTTCTACCACACAGTCAATGGCCCCAGCATCTCCCTGTAAGTAACAAGAGCAGTTCATTTTAATTCCAGGCAGTTTGGCACCAGCTAAGTGCAAATTCTCCTCTTTCACAGTTGGTTGGCAGCATCAGCGTCAGGGCTTCCAGCAGTGTTAAAGTTCCCTCAGTGTTTTTGAAAGCCCCAAGTAAGACAAGAGGCTGTAGAAAAAGAAAAGGTGCAATTCTGAGTTGATGCACATGAAAAATGCTGGGTATATTTTCAGAAAAGAGACTGGAAGTCCTTATGTCTAACCTGTGGGAAAAAAGAAAAGCAAGTCAGGCTTCAATGAACTCTTAAAACTGTTTCAAAGTCTTGAGTTTTTAAAAGAAAACTGACTTGGGTTTTTTTTACATTTTTTACATTTCCTTGTTCTCAAAGGAGATAACCTCATAAAGGACCCTTATATGCAACCTACAGAGTGCAGGCTTGGTTTTAGTAACCCTAACTATTCATAGGGAGGTGTGCGCTCTACAGACAAAGTCATCTGAAGCTGTCAGAGTGTGTCATCAACACTGGTTACCTGAACTTCCTTGTCCTGAAGTTTAATGGGTGCTGAGCTCTGTGGGCACAGGCCAATCAGGACACAAGGTCACCTGGTAAATTAGTGACAGCTAGAAATAGGAGACACGGATTTATACCCTCAAGGTACCCATAGGGAAACTCCCTTTGGGAATTTCACAGTTGGAAGCAGGTCCATTTTTAAAAACATAATAGATTTTTTAAAAATAGATTTGTGTTTGAGTAAGGTTCAAAAGAGCACTTGTTAATTGTTACAAATCAACAGGTATTGGGTTTTCCTTGTGTCCCATTGGTGCTAGAATAATTTCTTGCACTCCCTTTTTTTATTTTGGCAACTAAAGTCATTTATTTTAAAATATAAAACAAAAGTATTCAGATTCCAGTTAAGCAAAGAGAACTGGAGACGCTGGATGACTTTAATGAAATAACCCATCCCAGGCTCACTAGTAACAGCTGCCTGGATGGAGATTTCAGAGCCTAATTGCCTTCCCCTCTTTTGAAAATAACCGTTGCCTTCTCCCCATTGTCTTTCCTAAATCAACTTGATCCAAATCAGTTTTGCTGTTGTAAAAAAATCTCATATGCAGAAATGTCTATTTGATGACCTTTATAAGTTTAACAATGGACTTAACACCTGGGATCTTTCTCCAAGAATTCATTTGGTAAGAAGGATAGGATGAGGGATTTCTGTTTTAAAAAAATGAGAATTCCTTTTATATCTTGATGGAATTTTTATTTTGGAAAGAGAAAGCAACCTAAAATAATTTTGGGTCACTTTCTTCTGTCTTCTTCACCTTGGCTTCTATGCTGTTGGGAAGGGCTTGAGGTAGGATGGAAGGTATGTTCAATGGGGAATTTGCAGATTTTTAGCTCTCCAGATAGTTGGCTGTCCTGGCAGCAAACAATGCTTTTAGTCCCGAGTGCCTCCGCTGGGGTTCGGCAGTGCCCTTGGGTCCTGGGTATGGGAGGAGGAAGAAGAAATGTGGAGATAGGGAAGGATAGTAGGAGGGGAGAACGGGAAGAGAAGGGGGACCAGAGGTGTGGAGAAGGGTGCTGGGCTCTGGGTATAGGGGCAGTGCCACCTACAGTTGCCTCGGGTGCCTCTTGGTGCCCTGCATTTA